CACAAGACCAACACAAGACCAACACAAGACCAACACAAGACCAACACAAGACCAACACAAGACCAGCACAAGACCACCAGTCTGAATTCAAGCCACAAGCTATTCAAATGAACTGCAACAAAAGCATTCCTTTGTCATTGTCCACACTGTTACTTGTGACTGGTCTTGTGCATGGTCTTGTGCACGGTCTTGTCCACGGTCTTGTGTCTGGTTTTGTAACACTGGTTTCAGAACATTACATGTACATGGTTACCTTAGAGCAAGCAGACTGGGTTCTCTGTTTTGATGTATCACTGTTTTGATGACAATGTTGAGGGTTCCTACTGATTCACACTGCACAAGGGCCCTGAACTCAAAAGTGGCTCGGGCAACCTCCAACTCATTTTGTTGAGTGGGGCACTTATCAAATCTGGGGATACAGTGTACCCCCCTCACAAGAATGCTACAAGTGAATGTCTATTTTTAATGTAAAATGTCCGCTGGTCGCATTTTTTTTAAACTTACACGGTTTTAAAGAGGACAAACTTGATGTTTTCTTTTATCAGTAAACATGACCACTCACAAGTGAGTTGGTGCCACTTTAAAAACAGTTCCTGAACACGTTCCAGTGTGTAGTGCTGTTAGTTTTGCACTTTTTCATTTATGTCTAGAGATACAACCAAAAGGTGACATACATGTACACTCAAATGCAATTGCTTGCGTTTACTATCTTTGAATTGCCAAAAGCAAACAAGATGAAGTACAAAGCCTCGTCCAGCTGAGTGGGTGTTCTCTTTAAAACCATGTGAGTTATGAATAATTCATAAATACATGTACTTCAGACAGTCTCCCTAACAACGCGCAACATGACCATGTATAAACATTTGATAATGCCCGCTGGGAAGGGATAATGCCCACTGTGTAAATCACGCACTGGCACCAGGATACGGGACAGTTTGGTTCTGATTGGTCAAGAGTCTGGGTGCACATGGCTCGCCAATCGCACCTATTGGACAATTTGCACCAGGAATATTCCAGAAAATGGACGGGAGTATTTGGGAAAATTAAAGTAAAACCCTTGAAGAAAATTGCTGGAAATCCATCATATATTGACTTCTTTTGGCACTCTGACTAAAACGCTGACTAGAACAGTGATTGCATCCATTCTCCCGAGCCAGTCTTAAACGTGTGTTGAAGAACGGCCAAGCACATATTTATCCCCTTAAAAATGCTGCCAGTTGACACTTTATGTTGAAGGTGGACAATATTTGCTCATGTACCATTTGGGGGAAACACAGAGTACATTATATTGGCCTGTACAGAGGTTTGGATTTACCGCTGGCCTCAGTGTTGAGCCGGTACTTGGGCTGGAAGGTCAGCTTAAGTCCCTTGATCTCCACCTTGCTGTTGGCTGTCAGGAGAGCTGACCAGGGAATCTCCACCGAGATACTGCCCACCGTGCCGTCCCGCATCTCGACAGGAGCGGCCACGCTCTCCAGCAGCTCATTCAAGGCCTGACAAAAAAAAAAAAAAAGATCAGAGCCGAGAAGATTCAAGGTTAGAGTTCTGACTCCCAAACATATCTGGTGATGGCTCACAGCAACCACGTCGCAGCTTTTGCTTCTTTGGGTTTCTTCCGTTTCCATATCAGCTGTCTGGGAAACCTTAGTCTCCTTTTCCCTCCAAATAGAAAATGCAAGCTGGGATCTTAGAGAAATAAGCAATTCTAAACTATTATTATCCAAGTGAAAAAGAAAAGCTCAAGTGATTTTATTTTTTATATTTTAAGTGTTGAAAATGTCTCCATGACCACTCAAACATAATTACCCCTTTTCTTTTACACTTTTATGGATAAAGTGGCCTATCTATTGACACTCTTGAACAGTAAACACAAAATGCCTGAAACAGTAGCTGAATTGGTGGGGTGAGAGGGTTAGATACACTGCCGGCAACTGACTGAGAGGGGACTAAAATTACATACAATGCGTTCCTCTATAGGAAAGATCTTGCCAACAAATTAAGGCTCACTTTGTCCCATTGCATAACACACATCACCAATATAATCCCAGAAAAAAAAAACAAGTCACCAAGATGCAAGGTACAACACTGAGCCACAAGCTTTAAGTATGAAGCAAGCGTTGCCAACAAAACAGAACCTATTTCAAGGAAAAAAGCTCAGATTTCTTTTCCTCGGGCCACAATGACACGTTTACATGCAGAGCCCTTTCACTATTTTGAGGCCTGACTCAAGACCTTCCTAGGGTTTAAACCGTGTGACCCTAGTGGTTAAATAACACATCAATCCCCCCCCACTGTCATGAAAAGGCACCATGGCCATCTCCACTTGAGATTGTTGATTCCTGTGTCTGACAACCACGGCCAATCAAAGCCATCCTTAAAAATCCACGGCTGCATTCTGGGTGACACAAAGGCCAAGAAGTCCCGGTCCTTGGTGGGACAAGTGGATGACAGAATACCCTGGGCAAAACATGTACAAGGTGTGCTCTTGCACTGGGTTTGCCTCCGCTCACTGGGTATGTCACAAGTTAGGCCAGTTGTTAATGAGGGGCACATTAGCCTTAGTCACAAGTTGACCACATACAATTGAAAGCAAGATAACTTTTTTATTTTGGGAACCCGAGAAGAAAAATGAAAGGAATTTATACAATTTCATAACAGATTAATATCATTTATGCTAATGAATAATATACGATTTGTGATTAATTACTGGTATATCAAAATATTTTAAACCAGGCATGGAACCCAAAATAGTCTGGCACCACCCCCATTTAACAGATTACAGTGTATAAGAAAGATTCTGGAAACACGATCAAAAATGGCCTCCCTGTGAATGAGATCAATGACACGATGCCACTTTGAATGATAAACAGCCAGAGGAGTGGGTCCCAAAGACGAATGGGAGATGATGCATTTGCACACAGCAACGATGCACCCTTTGAGTGGCACGCAGTGTGCATGTGCGGACTTGTACAGACTTGGCAAAAAGAACACCTCACATATTTCTGTCATCATGTTCAGTGTGCTTTTTGCATCAACTCTGAGTGCCCAAGTGATACTGTCACCCACAAGACGTCACTTTAAACAAGTGAAGAAATATCCTTGTTCTGTCCACTTCTGAACAGAAGAAAACTAACTTCGTGTGTGCCATAAAAGTATTTTCTGATGTGAACTATTACATCAGGTTCGCATTTGACTGAAGCACGAGTTAAAACTGACACTACCTGTACCTATTGGCCGAGTAAAAAGTCTCCTTAAAACAGAATTATTAATTAATGAAATGGCACACAGTCATTAAATTTGGTTTGTAAATCATATGTACTTGTAATTTTTCAACTAAAAACCCGTTTTAAATGCCCATCATTCCAACATTTTGTTTGTCAACACCAGCAAAGACTGGTACTTGGCCAATAATACCTACACATGTAGTATCAACAATAATGATTATTTATTATACTCTGCATGTGCACCAGTGGGCTCATGGCACTACTGTATATCAACCAGCCAATGCAACCAAGCTACATGTATTCAAAGTGTCCACACCGTAACTTTCTTTTGTACTGGCAAATGGCACCATACTGAGTCCCAACCTTTTTGCGGTTAAAGACTTTTGACTCCCTATATGAATGACACCAAATCTTGCAGACAGCATTTTTCACACGTTTTACGCTACTTGTACTTTTCTCCCAGACCTAGACCCAATTTATAAACACATGTTCCAGTTTTTTCTCCACGTACGGAGGCTTTGACATATTCACGATCCACTGAACAGCTAAAAAAAGAAACACTACACACGCAAACGAGCCACCTAGTGAACTACACACACAATGGTGAGAACTTTGGGGCTACCTCCACAGGTGTGCAATTAGGTCAGTGACTTCTGTACAATCCGGCAACTGTTTCCATCGATCCCTTCTCATTTGCAAACTTGAACTTTCATCAATTTCCCCTACCCATACACTCTGTCTCCCCCCCTTTCCCCTACAAACTCGCTTCCTCTCCAGACCAGCGATGAACCGCATCGTCCCTGGCCCAGATCGCGGAGGCAACGGCTAGCTTGTGACAACACAGCCAGGGCAGGGACACCAACGTGGATGCAGGGCAAGGTCGCAGCTCGGCAATGATGAGGGATTTATCTCTCTTTCCCCCCCAATCATCCAGGCACTGAGGTCCCCCTCAAGGCTCCCCCTTTCAAAAGGCATTTTTCCACAGTTGTGTAATAAATTACAAATTCAACGGGGGCTGGCATTTTTTGTTTCACTGCAACTTATAAACATGTTTTTGAATCAAGCCTGTTCTCCAAGAACTCTTTTGGAGGGGCACGTGACGACAATTAATCATGGCACTACCTGCACAGATTAAGGCAGACATGTACAGTACATGTACCTGTAAACACGTACCCTCCCCCCACATACTATAAAAGCAGAAAGACTGACTAAAAAAGGGTTCAAATTTCATGCAGCAGCAGAACAACTGCGCACCAACTTTTGAAAAGTCAAGCCCCAAAATTCCCCAAAACCTCTTGAGGACCAAGGACGGATCCAGAACTCATTTTTTTTTGGGGGGGGGAGTAAACTTGTTTTATGGGTGGGGCTGAAAACTTTGGAATTTTTTCCATGCAACCTTTTGTAGCCTTTGAGGGGTCAAACATCAATTAGGTGCTTTTGACATGTTTTTTTTGAAGGATTAGGCATAAAATTTAACTCTAAAAATTGCCTTTTTTTCATTACTTTTCATTAAAACAAAATGGGGGGAGGGGACATGGCCTTGTTATCCCTCCCTCATCTGCCCTTGCTGAGGACCAGTCATGGGAAAATACGTGTACAAACTGCTCAATATTTTGGCTGTTTGGGACAGTTGATATTTATTTTCCGCTCAGCAAACCTCCTCGGTCGGCACATTTCTGTACTTCAAAGCTCCAGGAAATTTCCCTCGTGATTCAAAAGATTTTTGTTATAGTTGTCGACATTTCACAATCCTGTGCAGATACATACTGTGAGCTACTACTTTGTGTACACATTTTGCAGAATTCTTCTGATATGCTCATTTTCTGACAACCAACCACAACCCCCGAGGCCTTGGGTTCTTATTAATTAGAGTCACGAAACACCACGTCTTTGCAAGTTCACAGCTCTTCGTTGAATCGATCAATCCAAATATTGACCAGCGGCAACCTTTCAAGATGCCCAGACCGTTCCTCCTTGGGTGAGGGTTAAACAGGATCAATTTTTCACAGGGGTCTGCCAACCTTGGGCTGAGCTAAACCCTGGAATGGTGTCATTGAATATTCATGGCTTTCCTGGACTTCAGCCAAATTTCAGCACTAGAGAGAAGAAACGCAAGTTTTAAGGCAAAGCCTTTCAGGCATATTAAATTGTAAGAAGGAGGCACCGACCCACGACAGAGAAAGGTCAACAGCAGCAAGTAATAACACAGGTCCATCATGATGATGCCACAAAGAAGTAAATAAACTGAATACTCATTAGCTCCGTGGACCAGGGATGCACTATTAGCTCCGTGGACCAGGGATGCACTAAACCCGATAGGAGTTTTTGGGGCAACAATAATGGATTGACTCAGAGGCAAGGTTCATTTTTGTCACCAGGCCCCACAGTGGCTTTAAACCTACATGTACGTGCACTAATTGAAAACCAGTCAATCTCACTAATATTGGTATTCCCATCCATACATGTTTTTGTAACAAAGTCTAAACAAAGTCAAACACCGATACTTTTCAAACAATTCTGTTTCTCAATTAAACCTAATGTCTTGTGAATACACACCCCTCACTAATATTGGTATTCCCATCCATACATGTTTTTGTAACAAAGTCTAAACAAAGTCAAACACCGATACTTTTCAAACAATTCTGTTTCTCAATTAAACCTAATGTCTTGTGAATACACACCCCTCTTGGCCATACATACAGTGTATGGACCAGTTCATTCATCTACTGTACATGTACATGTGTGGTATAAGCCTCATGCATACAGTACTAAAATCTCCTAAAGTGAAAAGTGGTGTGCATCTCACATTCTGCTTCATCATGTGATTCAGAACACAGTGCGTGCTAGCGTAGAGTAAAATTTCAACCAGTGCAATTCCCATGCCTACAAACCTGATGTACATATGTACATGATGATAATCACACCGCACGGAGGAATAAGGTCAAGAGGAAGAAAGCGTTTAAACCAGTTGCTTGTTTTGTTTTTACCATCCATTTAAAAACCACCCACGTGATGGGCTCTCAGTCTCATCCAGTGGGAATGGTAAGCTGTCTGAGGTTTAATTTATGAACACGAATCACAGTTGACACCTTTAAATATGGTTGTTCGAGCCTTACGTGCACTTGGACAAGAGCGTGGGGAAATTGTTAGGTCCAAATCGGCAAGAATGTGACTGGGTATTGCTGACTCACCGTGGCCATGCCGGTGGGGAAAACCCTGCGTAATTAGCCAACCACAAGTCTGGAAATAGATCCTTAACGGTGGATTTA